AGATTAGGCACCTAGGGGCAGTGTTTCCAACAGCACAGCAGGAAAGAAACAAAGACCCTGAGCGGGGGGGACGGGCTGCCTGACAGGCTCCCGGCCTCGCCGATATGGGTGTGTTAATGCTCGGATGAAGACTCCACCCACACAATCAATCAGGAGGAACATGAGTGTTCGCAGCCTTGCAGCCGTTGGACGTGCGCGCGCGAGGGGGCGCGGACGTCCAAAAGTGTTGGCTGCCAGCTGGCGGGGCGCGCACGCCTTCGGCTGCGAGAGACGAGAAACACGTACACCCCCCCTTCCTTCCATCCGTTTCTTTCGGTTCGGGCTGGCTTTCCTGTCCGTTGGTGAAAGTGGTATGTAGTACCACCAAAAGAACGGATGATGAGCTTACGGGCAAAATAGTGCCGCGCGAAACCGGAGCTTTGTTCGTCTACAGGGAGATTTCATTACGGGAAGGCAAAGCCGTTTCGCTGGAAGTTGCTTGGCTCGATAGTGCGGTGCAAGCCGCTGATCGTTGGCGCTGTGCAAAGAAGAAAAGCAGCATTATTTGTCAGCCTGTGTGTGATCTCTTTGCTCGCTATTTTTTCTCGGTCCATAAACTTTATCGAACGAAACGCACGGCACGGACCACGTTGCATGTCGCGCTCTCTTGACATCTCTTGTCAATGAATGTCAAACCGGGCCCTATTCCAGTTGATCAGTCTCCTTCCGGGCAATCATCCTCATCGTCAACCCGATGCCGTCCCCTCAATCGGCGGTCCTTGCTCAGCTCTCTGTCCCGTCCTTCCCGTTGCACGCAATCACTTCAATCAATCGCTAGTGTTTTGCACCGGGAGCCCGCGCGCACCTTGACGAACGCTCGTGCGTTGGTTTGCGGCGGGATCGGGGGGAGGGGAGGAGAGGGGCGCTCTGTTCCACAAGGGAAGGGATTGCAATCTTTTTTTGGCTCATGCGGAAGCAAGAGAAGAACGAGATGGAGGGGGGATGAGGGCGCCTGAAGAAAATCAAAAGAAGATTTCAAAAAAGATGAAGCCATGTGAATTGGATTGGGAAAATGAAGGATACTAGCGTCGAGAGTGGAGCCCCTTTTGGGCAGGCAAGCCACGAATCCGCCCACTCGGCGCTCTCAGCCCAGGAAGCGAAATGGGGCGAGCACCACCAGCATGAAGAAAAGTAATATTGCGATCAGTTAATACGGGAGCTCGACCCCGGGGCACTTATTTCCTTCGTTTTCTGCCTTCGAAATTGCTGAGAGGGGTTCGTGAGAGAAACGAGACAAAAAAAAAAGCAAACACCTCGAGGCTAGCCCTGCGCCACCCCGTTCGTTCCGGTTGCTATTTTGTTCCTTTGTTTTGATCTGCTACTTTTTGTCTTTTTGATTACCAGGGCTTGTCCAAAAGTCAGGCGAGGTCTCAGGCGGGCAGCGGAAGCTGCGGGCCGGTGGCTCCNCCNCC